GTTAGTTATACGTACACATACATAATAAATGAATAACATCATAAATATTCAAGGACAAATAAATGCTTCAAGCGAACACATCGATAAATACTAATTGCATTATGAATTTACAAAACAAAAGGAATAAAAAAAAAAAGTTTTAGAAGAGGACCTTAGTTTAACATGATTATAACAAAATATATAGATGAAGAGAGAGATGAATGAGTTGGGGTTCAAATTTGGGGGTATTTATACTTAATTTTCACCACTAAATAAGTAAATAAAACGATTTTAAGAAAATCATATATTGTTTATATGAGTTAATGTATATATAAATGCATATATACTAAAACAAGTATACATATATATTTCACCATAATTGGACATAATTAAAATAAATGTAAATTGATTTCATAAAATAAAAAATAGACATGATTGACAACAAATCCGGTGATTGACTTTATTCGATGCAAATTCAAATAACTTATTAATAAATAATAATTGAAAGTCAAATTTTACATAAATTAAAATTAATTACGGTGATATTATTTCCATGAGTTATCAATATATAATAGATATGATATTGATGATATATATGTATATATAAATGATTTAGATAATAAATGCATATCCGAATTTTAATAAAAATCAAAATATATGAAATATACACACTATTTGTTTTTTATCTTTTTTTCTTTTTTCGTATCATAGTAATAAAAATATAAATTTCATGATGTATTAGAAAACAAATTAATAAAATTTAAAATTTCAAACATCCAAGTCCATAAATATACTATATTTGCAAAAGGAAATAAAATAAATCCAAATTAAGATGATTGATATAATCTATATCAATCAATGATATAGTTTATATATAATTATTTCCATGTATATTGATAAATTAATATATTAATATATTAATTTGATTTATTAATTAATATATTAATTAAAATCAGAAAAAATTATATATATATATATATATATATATATTAGTTTTTGTAAATATTAAATTTATATATTCAAATGAAAAAATTATGAAATATATATTTATTTATTAATATATTCATTTTATACAGATATCCCAATTTTTTTTATTGAATGGATATCCCAATATTCCAAAATATTGAAAATTCAGAAAAGAAAAATTATATTCCTTTATTTTAATATTTTAATATTAAAAAAAAATTCTGAAAATTATTTGAATATTCGTAAAAAAAATTGAGTATCATCAATTTTTTCAATAAATGTATTTTGAAATACTGAAAGTATAAATAAGATTTTTTTATTTCGAATTTATAAAATATTAACTTTGGAAATAATATATATACATGCGGTAATTGTTTAAATGAGTGTATAAATGTTAAATAGGAAATAACTTAAATACATACCAAAATAAAATTGACAACTCACCAATTGAAGAATCCACCTCATCAATTGAACTCCAACTAAGCAATTTTGATAAATGACATCATCATTTGCCACATGTCAATCATTGTGGGCATAGATTCTGGTTCCTTCGATGCTACACCCGGTGAAAAACACCGGGTGGGTCTTCTGCTGCCACGTGTTCTTTTTTTTATTTTTCTAAAACCCCTAAAGGTAAACCCTAGCGGGGAATCTATTATAAAATAAAAAAAAGAGACACGTGGCAGCAGAAGACACACCCGGTGTTTTTCACCGGGTGTAGCATCGAACAAATCATAGATTCTTTTTTATATTATATATAAATAATTCAAATGAAATATAAGAAATCAATAAATAAAACATGAAATATGTAGACCTATTCATGCGATTTCTAGTACAACTTTAAGAAATACAATCGGAATTCGTATGATGAAGTTAATCAAATCGTTAAGATTACATTATCTCACTTAATATTAAACAGTGGCGAGGCGAAACTAGGATTTCATCACCTACATGCCGAATATATATATAAAAAATAACGTAAAGAAATTAATAATCAATGATTGTTTCTAAAATAGCGAAACTACGATATTGTTACATGATTGACATCAAATTTTGAGGCTTGGGGGGCGGCGCCCTTGAAAAAAAAATGATTTTTTTCTTTAACAAAAACCAGATGATAGGAAAGAAGAAACGTATGAATTTTTTTTGCATTACATTAGATTTTGGGTGGACTAAATAATAAAAAAATGGTGGATATAATAAATATATATGTGCAATATAGCGGATTTTTGTTTTCCGATTGAGGGTTGACTTGAGACCATCCTTGCCCAAGGGTGGCCACGCCTCTGATTCCAAGTTACAATCTGTAACTTCCTTATCTTACGAGTTAGGGCCCGTTTGACAGGATTAAGCGTTGAATGCTGAATGCTGAATCTATTTCTGAATGATTAAGAGTTGTGACTGAATGCTGAATGCTGAACTATTAAGTCCATTTGATAACAAAATACCAGTAATGTCTGAATATTGTTATTTTCCTGTTATACCCTTATTTAATGCAACATTTTACTTTGTTAATTAAATTTCATATAAAATTTTGTCGGACATTAAACATTTTGCTATAGAATAAATTTAAAATATTTAACATAGATAAAATGTAAATTTCAAACAACTAATAAATATAAAATTCGCAAATAAAAGTAGCAAAAATATAAAAATACATTAGAGTAGCTAAAATTAACTTAAAAGATTAAAGTCACTAAAATTAACGTCAAATATTTAATAAAATTATAATTGGTCGCTCAATGCATCAACCGAGTTGCTATCTCATCACGGACATTTGCCATATACTGCATGTCTTCCTCCCCCCACCATGGTCCGGTTGTTGTACCATCATTCTCATGATCTTGTTCATCCTCATTCGCACCATCAAAAGGCACATTGGGTTGATCAAGCTCCTAAAAAAATCTATCACTAATACGCTCTTTTCTTATAAAATTATGCACCGCAAAACAAGCAATCACTATATTTCTCTACACGTCAAATGAAAAAGGGGCCATCGTTTCTAAAATTGGAAATCTATTTTTCAGAACTCCATATGTTCGTTCAATGACGTTCCTTAGTTGAGCATGAGCATGGTTAAATTTTTCTTCTTTGGTCAAAGCACGCATACGACGATAGTCTCCTAACCAATATCGTACACCACGATATGGAGCCATAAATCCTCTTGTATGTGTGTATGCAGCATCACAAAGATAGTATTTACCTGTTATCATTACATAAATAAAGTAACATTAGATTTAAAGTATAAATAATTGGAATTTAGATTGAATTTAAAGTAATACCAGCGGGAGGCCATGGAAAACCGTTTCTCGGATCAGCAACTGTTTCTGTTAAAACTTTTGAATCATGTGTTATCCATTCCCAGCCTGCCCAAACGAACGTAAAAATCATATTAAAGTCACATATTCCTAAAACATTTTGATAGCATTCTCCCTTTCCTCTACCCCTGTACATAGTTTGTTTTGAATTTGGGACAATGGCGTGTACGAGTGTTCCATCAACTCCACTCATCCTTTGTCATGTTGATGGTGTTGGTCGCATGATTGTAAACATTGCTTGTTTTCATAGTTAAAGGCAACCAAGCTTGATACTTTTGTTTTAAGTAATCGTATCTATTCTTCATTTGTCTTTGAGAAACCACAAAATTATAATTATTCTTGAGAGCTTTCATAACCTTGGTCCAAGATTCCGCCTTAAGACTTCCCCCTTCTCTACCATTTAAAGCAACTTCTTGGATACACGATTCGAGAACATTTATCGACTTCGTTATTATTCCATCTGACTCTATTATTTTCATCTGATTCATCCATTCCTACACTAATGGATGTTCATGTACAAAATAAAAATTAAAACTAAGATACAATATCACATATCTTTACCACATATAAATAGACACCTAATAAAACAAGAACTGAGCTAAGTGAAAATATTAAACCAGAAAACATGTATTGTTCCCAGCTCTCTTCATATTTTACCCACTTTATAACTATTTATGCACCAAATAACTATATCTATATAAAGTATTCAGTCTTGAATTATAGGGGTTCAACTTTTTCACCATCCTAATTAAATAACAGATAAATGCATAAAAATAATTTGCAATAGAATACCTCCAAAATTTTTTATGAAAGAAAAATATGCATCCAAATGAATTTTTTCAAACTCCAGAGGTGTCCTGCTGTTCACAATAATGCTTCTTCTCTATCTTTTTTTATTTATTTAATTATTAAAGCATATGGTGTGTTGCGATACAAAAACAAAGAATAATAGTTCTCATATTCTCATAAATCTCTTCAACTAGTTGAAATAAAAACAAAACTTCAGACAAATAAAAGTTATAGCATTAGTGTGAATTAAAATATACAAAGTGTGATATAAAGTCAAACATCAGACCAAGAACAAGAAACCACAAACTCAAGTGAACTTCTTGCTAATAACTGCGCAGCCTTATATCCCATGGAAAGAAATTACACATGATATCATTTTTTTCATAAAAACACACAGATGATGGTTGCATAAAAATTTCAAACAATTTCAAATTATCACCAACTCTTTCACAATTTACCCTATTATTAATAATTGATACAGAATCTACGTAAAGTTCTATGTACACTGAATTTAAATAACATATTTATTATAACACAAAAACGCAGGAATGTAAAGGCTTGTTTTGTGGGAGATTGATGGAGAAGAAAGATATAACTTACCTGTTTGAAAAAATCTCGTCAACATTTCTCGTGTGATATTTTTGTGGTTTTCACAGCAGTCGCCTAGAGGGGATTTTTTATGGGGAATGAGATGAGAACTATCGTGTTATGAGGTAGGGTAGAAATTTAAAAGATTATTTAAGGATAGAAGAGTCCAGATTTCATTCAGATGTTGCTCTGACCGAGTAAGCGTCAGATTTTTAGCGGAATCGTTAAGAGATTCACGGACCCGTTCATATATTGTTACCAAATGGGCTTAATGGCTAATTTGCTGACTCGGTCAGCCCATGATTCATTAAGATGGCCATTAAGTGCAATCAAACGGGCCGTTAGACTCATTTATTATTATCTTTTTTCTCTTCAATAAAAAATATTTAATTTTTTTTATATAAAACTAAATTATTAAACATTATAGGAGCATAATACAAAAAAAGACTATAAGTTATATGTACATATATAATAGTCAAATAAAAAAAAATTGAGGGGGGCCATGGCCACCCTGGTCTTACATTGATTTCCCCATTGATATTAATACAAAAAGATTAAATGCAAATTTTGCCCATGATTCAAATTTCATATCATAAATTGAAAAAAAATGTTGCAAAAAAAAAAAATCACGAGCTTTTTGATTTAACTGGAATAAGTGTAATCAGAGTTCGTAGCATAAATTTATGATCAAAATAACATTAAAATTCACGAGCTTTCTGATTTAGGATAAGTGTAATCTGATTTTAAGTTTACATAATCATATTGTATACTAGAAGAGATTAATGTAAGTTTTTAGATGTTGTTAGTTAGTGATTGTATTCTAAAATATCTCATTCATCCAATTCTAATTAATTTGCGTATGTTCTTGAGTTTGATAGGAGCAAAATAGAGCTCCGAATTCACCCGAAAAGCCCACAACTCAACGGTCATGTCTTTTTTAATTCATATTCCTCGACGAGCTGACCCCACTTCCCATTCATCACATATTTTAAGGGTTCCTCTTTTCTCTATCGTTAAAATATTCATTCTTCTCACCTTTTAATTAATTATCGTGTATGTTTTATTTTCTTTATAATTTGCTTTCAGTATTTGTACTCATCTTGTGGTGATGGTAGAGTGGGAATGGAATATAACTACCGGTTCTGGTTGGACGACGAGATGATTTCAATGCCGCGTGACGACGACGAACCGTCACCCGAACTTGTTCCCTTAACAAAGAACTGTACGGCCGTAGCTCATTCTCGCCCCTCGTGATAGCTAGGTCAGCCTCTTCCCAATGTGTTGCGAATGCTAAGTGATAGAAAAAGAAGAAAAGACGTAAGAAGATAAGAGATATTTGTAGGAAAGTACTTGTATTTCTTGAATGTCTTGAATTTGTAGGATTCTTGTTGGATGATTACAAATGAGGACCCTACCCCTATTTATACTAGGCCACCTCATTTATGGACAGTGGAGATCCATTTGATCTAATGGCTAGGAGTGGTTCAGTAGAACACTCCAAAGAATTCTTACAAAATATCTACAATGGGAGGGTTCTAGAAAGCTGTCTAAAATCCTCCTAGAATCTCTACCTATCTCTTTACATTTTGGCCAACTTGAGCCTAACCCTATTTGGGCTAAGTTTTGGACTTCTTAACCTCCCAACTCAAGGGAAACTAGCAAAGGGTTGGGCCAAAACTGGCCGGCCGTGACATCCTACCCCGCCTAATCCGGCGACGTCCTCGTTGCCTCGAACAAGTGGAGACGATATTTAAATTTCCACATGTCTTCCTTAGTCTCCCACGTTGCCTCGGACTCGGGTAATCCCTTCCATTTGATGAGGTATTGAATACTCGGTGGAACACCCCTACGTCGCTTCAGTTGTCGGCCGAGCACTTCCTCGATCTCCTTATCATATATGACTTGGTCAAGATGGGTGGTGCTCGGTGTGACTCTGCTCAGCTTGGTTCTTTCTTGTCTTCGTGATAAGGCTTTGACATGCTCACATGGAAGACCGGGTGAATTTTCAAAGAACTTGGAAGTTCGAGGCGATACGAAACTTTACCGACTTTGGCGATCACTGGGAATGGTCCTTCGTACCTCCGCACAAGACCCTAGTGCATGCTCCGCAACGCCTTGAACTATTGGGGCAATAGTTTCACCATCACTTGGGCCTCAACGTCGACTTCCCATGGTCGTCGTTTGTCGTTCGCCCATTTCTTCGTACGTCGCCTAGCCTTCTCAAGGCACGCGCGAGCTAAGTTGGCTTGTTCCTCCCACGACTTAGCCATGTTCAATGCTCCGCGACTCCTTCCATCGGTTTCCGTAGCCAAAGTGTGTGGCATAAGCGGTTGTTGTCCCGTTGCAAGCTCGTATGAACTCCTCCATGTGGCTTCACTCCACTGCAAGTTGTAAGAAAATTGAGCCACATGAAGGAGCTTCGCCCAATCCTTTTGATTGGCTCCCATGAAGTGTCGTAAGTAGCACTTGAGTAGGGCGTTCACCCTCTCCGTTTGCCCATCAGTTTGGGGGTGAAAACTCGTTGAGAAGTAAAGCTCGGACCCCAAAAGCTTGAAAAGCTCCGTCCATAGTCGCCCTGTGAAGCGTGGGTCTCAATCACTTATAATGCTCATCGGTAATCCCCAATACCTGACGACGTTCATGAAAAAGAACCGGGTTGCCTCCTCCGCGGTGCAATCCCTTGGGCAAGCTATGAACGTCCCATATTTTGAAAAGCGATCTATCACCACCATGAAAGATCCGGACCCCTTGGACGTCGGCAAGGCACTGATGAAGTCCATTGAGATCGACTCTCATGGTCGCTCGGGGATTGGGAGTGGCTCAAGTAACCCTATGGGCTGCCTGTTTTCCACTTTGTCTTGTTGGCACACAAGACAAGTCTTCACATATACATCGATACTGTCCAGCATGTGAGGCCAAAAGTAGGCCGTCACGAGCAACGCATGGTTCACCTTTGGCCCGGATGCCCCGCCCACTTGGTATCGTGGCATTCCTTGATGAGGTCTTTCCTCAAGCTGCCCCACTTCGGAACGAAGAGTCGTTGTCCATTCGTGTAGAGTAGGCCGTCTTCTACCCAAAATTGCCTCCTCTTGCCCTCCTTGATGAGTCGAATAAGCTCCTTGGCCATTGGATCATGTTCGAGCGCTTCTCCGATCATATCGGCCAAGTTCCCATTTGTTGAGCTAATAGCTGCGAGTTCAGCCTTTCTACTCAAAGCGTCGGCCACAACGTTTGCCTTTCCCGGTTTATACTCAAAGACGTAGTCGAACTCCGCCAGAAAGTCTTGCCATCGAGCTCGTTTTGGCGAGAGCTTCTTCTACGTTTGGAAGTAGCTCGTTGCAACGTTGTCTGTCTTGACCACGAACGGTGCGCCTAATAGATAGTGTCGCCACACCCTAAGGTAATGGATGATGGCGGTCATTTCTTTCTCTTGGACCGTGTAGCACCGTTCCATCTCGTTGATCTTTCGGCTTTGGAAGGCGATCGGATGCCCCTCTTGCATCAAGACCCCAAGTTCGAACGACTTCCCATAATCCGGTAAGGCGAGGACCGACTCTTGGCTCACTGCTGCCTTTAAGTCCTCGAATGCTCGTTAGAATGAGTCGGACCACTCCGACGCCTTGTTCTTCTTGAGCAAGTCGGTTAGTAGCGCCGCTCGTGCCGAGTACCCTCTTATGAACCGCCGGCAGTAATTAATTAGACAAAGGAAGGAACGTAACTCGGTTACTTCGTCGGCGGTTCCAACTCAGTGATAGCCTTGATCTTCGCTCCATCAATTTGGGGTCGCCCGTGTCCGATGATATGCCCCAAGAACTGGACCTCCTCCTTGCCAAACTCGCACTTCTGCTTCTTCACGATAGCTCGTTCTCCTGAAGTACTTGGAAGACGGTGTGAAGTTGGTTGGCATGTTCCTCCATGGTGTCGCTATAAACGACGATGTCATCTAGGTACACCACCATGAACCGATCCAAGTATGGATGGAAGATCTTATTCCTGAGAGTGCAAAATGTTGCCGGGGTGTTGGTTAACCCGAACGGCATGACGAGCCACTCGTAAGAACCGTAGCGAGTGACGCATGTTGTGTTAGGCTCGTCTCATTCGGCAATGCGAACTTGGTAATAGCCCTCCCTTTTGTAAGTCCATCTTTGTGTATATCTTGGTTTTACCAAGTCTATCGAAAAAATCGGCTATCAAGGGAATTGGGTACTTGTTCTTAACGGTTACCTTATTTAATGCCCGGTAGTCCACACACATCCTCAAGGAGCTGTCGTGCTTCTTTTGGAATAAAGTCGATGCGTCGTACGGTGCCTTCGATGGTCGGATCTTCCCCATCTCGACCAACTTGTTGAGTTGCTTTCGGAGTTCCTCAAGCTCCGGCGGTGACATGCGGTATGGAGCCATGACGGGTGGCTTGGCTCCCGGTAACAACTCAATAGCATGATCCACCTCCCTCATAGGTGGAACCTTGTTGGTTAAGGTCGATGGCATTACGTCATGATTGGCTTCCAAGACAGTTTGGATGATTCATGGCATGTCCTCCTCTTTGTTCACGGGCGGGTTGTCCTCTTTTAAAACGGCTAGAAATGTCGGCTTGCCACGTCGAACCCCCTTGGCAACTTGCATGGCCGAAAGTTGCCATGGTTGTGAGCCTCCTTCCTTAGTGGTGCCGTTGGTGGCCAGCGCCATGCAACGTGTTCCCTTCTCTAAGATGCAAACAAAATTGAAACAAGGCATCGGGATAGCTATTACCTTGCGGAATAAATCCATGCCTAGCACCACCTTGAATTCATCCATTGGTGCTACCGAGAAATCCACTTGGCCCTTCCAAGTGCCTAAGTGTAGCTCCGCGTCGTGTGCTACACCATTGAGTGGTTGTGTCTTAGCATTGACAGCTTTAAGCCAACCATCCCCTTTGGTCCACCGTAGGCCAACCCTCTTGGCCTCGTCCTCGGTGATGAAGTTGTAGGTCGCTCCCATATCCACCATCACCTTTGTTGGGGTACCGTTGATGCGGGCCTCCACGTACATCAGCCACTTGCTTGATGTTGCCGGCATCGGGTTAGCCTTTAAGGTGTTTAGAAGTTGTAGTGATCCCATGTGGCCT